ACACACACACACACACACACACACACACACACACACACACACACACAGAGAGAGAGAGAGAGAACCTCTACATCCCCTCCCTGTCTTTTTGACTCCACTCTTGTCAGTGCAGTTTTGCTTCTCATTTTGAAATCTTGGCTGTAGTGCTCCTGCTTTATTTCTACCTCAGTTTTGTTACATTTCTCTTGGAAAGTAAAGTAGAAAATTGGAAGCGGACACACACACACTGCAGTGTAGCTTGGTAAACAGGTTACTTTGTTTTCTTCCATCTTTCACCATAAATCTACTTTCCAAAAACATCAGCATGTATGCTTGTTTCCACCTCAGTCTATGACCCCCCAACCCATGTCATAAGTGGCATTTTTCTTAATTTCCTATTTTTCTCCTGTTCTCCGTCAAGTTGTTCTTTGTATCCTTTAATGCTTTATGTGCAACTTTTCATTGATAGTGGGCTGATGTTTGGCAATGCTTCTGAACAGTCAGTGCAGGCTGGAGCTTTCCACAGCCACTGCCCGTGCATAGGCAGAACAGCCTGGCCTTTTGAATGTATTTTCCTGGTTTTTTTCCCCTTTCCTTTTTTAGTTTAGAGATGCAGTAACAAAACTGTTGCAAAGCACTGGCATTTTATGTATTCAATAAATAAGTGATGTACATTTTTAAAAAATAATTAAATAAATGCAATGAGAAGCCCCAAGAAAGGTCTTTCTGTTTTTTTCTTTCAAAATTTTTTACTAATCTTATTCACAATGTCCAATTCTCTGAAACACTTAACATAGAGAAAGCTAATGAGAGATTTCATATTTCTGAAATTTTATGATGCTTGAACTTTACTCCCCTTTTTTATATTTTATGTTGCTAAAAACTGAGCAAATGAACCAGAATTTAACTTACTATGACATTCTGTCAACTAAAACTGTGCTTAAATATAAATATTCCATATTAAAAAGCAGTGCCTTTCATTAAGGATACAAAAAATAATACTTAAATATGTCCTCTGCTTTTCACAAGTGAATAAATGCTACAATTGTGTTCTGGGTCTACCCTGCGCATCCCTTGTAAGGAAATTCTAATATCCACATTAACTTGTAGGTTCATATTGATCTCACTGACAAGTTTACTTTTGCACAGTGCTGACCTATTTTCTGACTTTTAGACATTACATTTCATTTCCGCCAACATGCTGTGTTCACTTGAAAGCGTCTGGCAAGTTTTGACAAACCCAGTCTTATTTAGACAACTTTGGAAAATCCAATATTGACCCACATTTTTTGTGGCTAGTAAGATTTAATGCCAAATATATGACTGCACTATTGTGTTTTACGCTCATTTATAAAACTGAAAATTAATTGAAGTCATACATCTTGGCTTTTAGCTTTAAATGGCTTAAAAATTAGAGCTCTGAGTGACTTAAAAATTAGTTTGAGATACAAGTGGTCAAGAATCCATGTATTTAGGCAGACGTTGAAGTCTCGTGTGATTTTCATTTAGCCTCACGAAATCCAAGATTTGATCTCTTAGGAAATTGGGCATGTTGAAGAAATGAAGATCTGTTGGAGGAGATAAGGCTGACCTTTGAGTAGATAGTGCTCTCCTGTGATTCTTTGATTCTGCATGGCAGCATTATGAGCTCTTCTATAGACTAGCTTAATAATGAGCTCTATTCTGACCATCCATTCTGGAACTTGGAGTGGGGGTGGGGTACCACAGCCTCAGAAGCGAATGTGTACAGTCGGTGATAATACAACTGAGTAATCGGGCTTCATACTCTTGGCCTCTTTTTGACTGCTAAGAATTTGGAGAAGGCTATTAATGAAGGTAAGGTAATGAGCCAGTCCAAATCCCTCACTGTGCGGCTAAGAGATTGAGCCATTCCACTTTACAGCCCCTAATTCCCTTCTTCCCAACTGCAGTAACATTTCTAACAGTGACAAAAAGGAAGTGAAGGAAACCACTTCAGTACTGGGATCAATAGAAACTCAAGAGGTAGTTCATAATGACCTTATATGTGACACAAATGGAAATACTCTACACTTCTGGCATGCTTCTCCACCAAATATTTAGAACATTAGTGACAATATGAAAAACTTTGCTGACTGAGCTGATCAATTGAATGTGAAGGCAGTATACTTTAAGGCTATTTACTTTCACACGGAATGTTTATCTATTAGTCAGTTTGTATTCTACTCAAATGCAGATAGACGGGTATAATGTTTTCTTGTGCGTTTGAAACCTATCAAGGAGAAAATAAACCATTCCACTAAAATACATAGGCCAAACACCATCTGGGCAAGTGATAAAAGCTATCCAGAGGCTATGCTATGTAAAATAGCAAGGTCAATTTACATGGGTTGCATAGTACTTGGCTATGCAGTTTTCAAAAGAACACATCCAAAAACAAAAAAAAAATCCAAATTAGTTCCTATAATAGGTCTTTGTAAATTTAAATATATTTGTGGGTTGGAAAATATGTTTTAGAGACACTTAGAATTTCTTTCTCTAAAAATGTATCCAACTCCAAGCAGAAAGAGACTTCTGTAATCCCATTCTCATGTTTCTTAGGAAGAATTGGGTAGCATGATCATTGAATCTGTATTTTGCAAGTGAAAGGGACACAGTTTGTTGAACTATTGAGGCCACTAAAGTAAAGTTCTAATATATATATATATATATATATATATATAAAATTAGTGTGTGTGTTTGTATGTGTGTATGTGTGTGTGTTCTTTCATCACCAACTATTTGAACTTTAAAACATCTACTTTTCATTATTCAGAAGCAACTTGTTACTTTCTTTCTTCATATGTGCAGAGATACACATGATCATTTTACAATCCAAAGTGTTTTTTTTTTTTTTTTTTTAAAGTAAAAACCTTCATGAAGCACATTAGCAAACCTGGAGCTGTTAGTATTTCAGAATTCACAACCAGCTGTACTTGTGACTAACCAACACATGAACTGAAGCTCACACTCTGCTAAGACCTTTGGTTGACATTCGATTTTGAACCTGCCAGATGCATTTGTGTGAACCAGGGATACTGCATCTTTAATGAACAAGTCTCTCCTCTTTCCCCTGTTTCTAAATACAACACAAGCAGTGTAGCACTAGGCACTGCAATTGTCAAAGACAATTAGACTGGAAGCAGGAAAATTTCACCTCCCTGTCTCAGTGATATGTAGAATGTCGGCAGCATGGGTCAGCCTTGCCACAGAGTTGTGTGAGAATATATGAATCACTCCTATAGAATGTTAAATATTTATAAAATGGTTCTGTAGTACACCAAGGTTGGGAGCACATTCATTCCTTCTTGTTGTCTTATGATACAAAAAAAAGAAAAAAGCAAAAGTTTATTTCCGGGCTTAAAACTCGCCCTCTAGTATTTCTCTCTCTTTCACCCCACCCCCCAAGCACCCCTCTCTCCATCTCTCTCCTCTCCTTTCTCTCCCTCTTCTCTCTCTCTCTCTAGCTACCGTTCTCTCTTGTATGTGGATGTGTGTGTGTATGAATTTCCATTGTGGATTATATACAGTTGCTAGAGAATATTCATTTCTTTTTTTTTCTTTTTTCATCTGACGTATATTCAAACATTGTTCTTTATAACCATTTCTACCTCATTGCTACATATTGTACATGTAGTATTTATTTGTTGTCTTTTTTTGAATGTCATGCATTTCGTAAGAAAAAGACTTGTC